ATAGCGTAAACTTTCGTAATTATTACACCTACGTAATACTCCGAACTAATTGTAAATTTTCGTAAGTTTACGCTCGCATAAAAACTTGCAGAGGTTTACGCCTATTTATTTTTGCTGATAATGCATTTGTCTTTAAACACATGGTTGCTATCTACTAGTCTATTCAGATTTGGTAAGTAAACAATGCTTTTGAAAATTCTAAACAACTTTTATTAAATGTCAAATATAGATTTATTTAGTACAATTTTGACTTTTATATATAGTAACTATTACAAAATTTTTGAAAATTTGGGAATAGCTTAATTTTAGATAAAAGAGATTTTTAGGTTTTTTGCTTAAATGTCTTAACCATTAAATTAGTATATTGCAGATATTCCTTATATGTCACTGCTATATATATAAAAGTCATAACCATTTATAACTTTGTTATTAACTTATTTACAACTCTTATATATGTGGCAGAAGTATATAAGAAAGTATCTACAATACACTAATTTAATGTTTAAGACAAAGCAAACAGATGTGAAAAAGAAAAGACAAGTATATTATGAACTAGCTACCACTATGACACCTATCAACTCAAAACACTTAGGTGTTAGCACCTCTTCTATAAGTTGGGTTTTTGTACATTTTCAAAGATATAATTGTATTGAAAAACTTTTATCGCTTTTAGAAAAACCACATTCTTTAAACATAAATGAAAAAATCTAACTAGTACTTGTTTGAATTACAATTCAAGATGGAACTTTGGTTGAGACATAATATTAGTCTCACAACAATTTGGAGGGCTATACACTGATTTGGATATATTGTTACAAGTGGGATAGCCTTCTCAATTTACCATCTTTAATATAGCACACAGTAATAGTGATCTCTAAAACAACAAAGCAAGATATAAAGCAGTGTAGAAGTGGAATATTTCCTTACTAGTGCAGTTTGGTATATTCATTAGAAGCATAGAAACATGGTTTACTTTAAAGCAAAAATATATTTTTATTTATAATACAATATCTAGATACAAAGCTATCTATAGATATCTATTCCTATAGAATCCTAATATTTTAGAATATTGCAGAGAATGAATCCTAAAGTTAAAGAAAGAGTAAAAGCTAGGATTTATATAGCTTTTACAACATATATCAAAAGAATATAAAACAATAAGAAACTATAAAAAACAATAAGAAATAATAAGAAATATTAAAACAAAAAATAGACAACTCTTTCCAATAATCACTTAAACTAAAAATTTCCCACTAACAGAAAACAAAAATTTTGTTGGAGAGTTGTGGTTGATGTAGTGGTTTGTTTAGAGGTTAACGTTTACTTTGCAGGACTCCTCTAAAAGACGTTTGGTATACAAGCCAAGAGCGTTACTATACAAGTTAACTGGCAAGGTAACAATAAACCCAGAGGATGCCCTTGTATATAAAATCTTGGTGAAGTATGGGCAAAGCCAACTTTGAAGATGAAACTACTCAACTGTTAACAAAAAACATAGGGAATACAACAAAATTTTAGTTTTTCCAAGCCACACTCTAGTAATACAAATTGCCAAAAATTTTGCAATCGATTAGTTGTCAACTTTTCGATTATTCGATTTTTATTCGATTTTAATATAAGTTTCCAAAAATTTTTTAATCGATTAGTTGCGATTTTCGATTTGTAACACTACTTCGAGCTTTAACAAAAGTTGTTCTAAAAAACAATTTTTGTTGAAGTTCGAAGGTTTACTTAGTACTAAATCCAGTTCCAAAGTATTTTTAAATCTTACTATAAATAAACATCCTTACTATGGGGTGCGCGCTATTTTGGGAGTTATTTTGAAACTATGTGTATTATTTTTAGGGGGACGATTTTCGATTACGCGAAAATACGGTAGTTATATTAGCATTTTAGTAGGTCTTTGCATATTTTGAATTCTGACCCGGGTTAGAGCAATTTTCGACCCGTAACCGTCGGGTCGGGTGATCCGTACGAGTCACCCGATTCGGGTAATAACTCTAGTGGACTGGAGATATTACACGAACTAAGGCTATCTAACCCTGATGATAATACAGTATACCCAAAGTTCGTGATTGGATTTGGATACACTATTACAAATGTAAGTTGGCAAATGGAATTTCGTATTTAACAACCAAACTTTATGCATCTCCAATTAATATATCTTGTTTACAAATGCATTAATTAACTTAAATAGTACAATATCAGATATTTTGTTTAATTTTTTTTACACAATTTTTTGGGTTGAATTTGTTCTTTACTGTATGATAAAATTACTGAGAGAAAGCATTTAATATAATTTTGTTTAGTGTTGAAATTATGCATATAACAATACAGAAAAAACAGTAAATTTTATCATAGAATCTATATATTTATTAGTAGTACATATTTACTTGTCAAAAAGAGGTTGGAATGTAAATAAGAAAGAGCTATGATATGACTTAGGTTGTATAGAATTTGAATTAATAACTTGGTTTTATTTACGTACTATTTGAAAAAATACCGTTTTTGTAAAGATCATATTAAATTTCTTTTCCATCTTTATCGTTATTATGATCGATCGTTTTTTAGACCCATCAAGTGTTTCTAATTTTTGTTTTTAAAACTATCAGTAAAAGCCTTCTTTGGTTCTTCACAAGCTGAAATATTAATACAATTAGATTCGTCCTCTTCGTTATAAAAAGATACGTAATTCTACAGGAACATTGACAAAATATGCTGTATCTTAATTCAATACTAAATCAAATTCCATGTTATTCATCATGTCAGTTTGAAAGGCTTATCAAAAAATTTATCACTAGAGAAATAACCAGCGAATTAAGATTTAAAAGAAATTCAATTTGCTATACATACTGTTGAACCTCCCAAAATCGATCCTCTCAAAGCCGATAACCTGTCAAATCTGATAGAAAATTAGTCCACCAAGTCTTTTTCCGTTATATAGATCCAATAGTTTATAATGTTTTCAAATCTGATAACCTCTCAATACTGATAGAAAATTTGTCCACCGTGCATATCGGTTTGGGGAGGTTCAACAGTATATACAATAAATAATGACTTTGTCATTTATTATAAATATGTCATCCTTTTTTAATGAGTGTTATTTGAACAAAATTATTTTAAATCCGCAAATTGTCTAACGATTTACTAATATCATTCAGTCTCAAAAACAAGTCACATCCATAACTATGAAGGGATATAAGATTCAGTGATCCACCAAAGAACTTAGCATAGAGACGAGTCAAAGGAAGTCTACAAAGATATTTATGAAATATTTTAATTAAAAAATTGAATGAACTTAATAATTTGTTCGTTCTGGTAATATTAATATGGGCTGCTGTCAATAGAAATAAGATTTTTTAAAAAAATTAATACCTTACCTTTCATGCTCATATCTCGATGAATTTTGAAGATATCTTAATAATTTAGTAGTCAAAGAAAGCTAGAATATTTAAACTTTCTTTTGACTAATAAATCATCGAGATATGAGCTGTGAAAGGCAATGCATTGATTTTTTTTAAACCGTCAATCTGCCCTATTTCTATTGACGGCAGCCCATATATTCAAATACCGACCCATAACCTAATCCAGCAATCGGTCCACCCAACCCAGTTTGCATAGCACGTCTGCTAACGTTTGATAATATATTATCCATCTCAGCAGTATGCGAATCCTCATCCTGAGGTACAGTTGTAAAAGAGTAATCAAATATCGATGGCAGATCCTCGGGAGCCACACCACCGCCTTGATCACGAATTCTAATTCCGATATTGTTTTCTCCTTTTGATATCGTAGCTACAATTTGTGGATGATTATTCCGTTTAATTTTTGAACTGTACTCGACGGTAGCACGATAAGAATTCTTTAGCACTTCAGAAATTATGTATTCTAAATGTACTGGAACATAAGCAAATGTAGTATCTGTTTGCCCATCAATAATTATTTCTGGAGAGGAACCATAATGACCTTCGCAAAGTTCCTGAACCCAATTTGTACATGATTGAATTAGTTTTGCGGGACTAGTATGAGTGTCTATTATCCCAATAAAGTTCGGATCGCGTGCGTTGTGTAAAGCAATATGTTGTTCCGCGATAAGACGTATTCCAATACGAGAATTAATCATGTCATCAAGAAAATTCTTTATATCTTGCGCAGGCATATATATTTTACATTCTTGAAATCCTGCAATAAAAATATTAACGTAGTTAGCGGACAACAAAAATAGCAAGATGCATAATAATGAAGAGTAATGGGGGCTTTTCAATAGAAAAGGGGAAAATTTCTTCTGATTTTAAATTTAAATTAAAATATTTCAACAACTATTAAACCAAATTTAATAATCTTTTTTTATAAAAAAAATTTTATTAAATTTGATTTAACAGTTATTTGATAATTTAAAAAAAGTTACTAAAAACTTTTTACCCTTTTCTATTGACAAGCTCCCATACGTGCAGGGCTGGGCAATTAGACAATTTGGTTGTCCAGTGAAATTTAAAATTAAAAATTTACGATTTTTTAAAAATAGGTGGCCCTGTTCAGAATTAAACAAATTAAATAATTTGACAGTAGAATATGGCCAATTTTTACACTGTATAAATAAATCAATAGACACCGATTAATATGTTCAGTGTCCGGTAAAATTCACTGGATATAGAGGCATCCCAACCCTGTATACAGTGTGTATATAAAAAGACCTTTAGCCAATGTAGGAATGTTCTCAGAATGACTTGCTACGATTTGTGCTAGCATATCTGCAAATTTTGCGTCGGTTTTCTCTTCAGTAATTTCAGGAAAGTCACAAATCAATTCAAATGAATCAAGGTACAATTGATAAATTCTTTTGATATATGGATTAGTTCCTACTATAAATGGAAGCTTTTGTAAAGCCTTTATACGACGAGCAAGGCGAACAGGGAGTTCCAATTTAGTATATCGCGCTGATTCAAGGAGCGTAGAAATACTAAGCGGAGGTTGACCAAATTGGATTAACTGTTTGAGAGTGACCGGTCTAATAGATTGTTCAGCATACTAGAGAATTTTATTAATCTATTGTGTAATTGAAAAAAAATTAACACATTTACAATTAATCGAATGCTTAAAAGCCTACCTTGGTAATTTTGTCATCATAAAAAGATAACACTTGTGTGGTATATCTACATCTCTGAGGAAGAGAAGTAATTTTTAGGCAATTACAATTCAAATGTTCCAGGAAGATACCAAACCGAAATGTTCTATAAGCCATCATCCCAATTTAACAATTTTTATTTTATTTATTTTTATTTTTATTTTATTTTTTTCTCAGGTCATGCCTCAGTTTCTTTATTAAGAATAGCATAAGTTACATTATGCAGTGCTCATGTGGTACATTCTATTTTTACTAGAAAAACCAATTTACCTACGACCCCAAGAGAGGTGTTGTGACCTTGGGTAGAAACTTATGATATTCGTTGCCGAATTTAGTTTTTGATGGGAGCGATTTATTATAAATTTTTATACTATGTGGGTTAAATTAATAATGTTACATCTCTCGTTTACAGGAAAAAATCCTTTATATGCATATCATAATTACATAACCCATTTACCAAGAATGAGGTAAGAAATGTGGTAATAACCCGTTACAGATAACGGTAATGTAGTAATGGCTGCTAGTAATGAGGCCGGTCATTTGTGATCGTCATTGATATGTCATTAGCAAGGTGTTAATTTGATCTAAAAAATTCTCAGTTTCGCTACTCGTTCCAGATCTAAAGGAACTATTAATTTAATTAGTAATGTGGCTTAACAAAATCACTATAACGTTAATATCATTAACAATTGATGATGATGCTTACTTAATAGCCGTGCCAATTCAACCTAAAAAATTCACTGTTTCGTTACTAGTTCCAGGTTCAAAGGAACTATGAAATTGATTAATTTAATTAGTAATGTGGCTTAACAAAATCACTACAACGTAATTAGTTAATATCATTAACGTTAACAATTGATGATGATGCTTACTCAATAACCATGTTCGAATCTTCTGCTTCGCTACTCGTTCCAGGTTGGATTTAATTTAATTAGTAATGTGGCTTAACAAAATCACTACAACGCAATTAGTTAATATCATTAACAATTGATGATGATACTTACTCAATAACCATGTTCGAATCTTCGCTACTCGATCCAAAATCACTTGAATTATCTACATACCTTCTATCAGAACGTAACGTTTGATAACTACTCAAACCGATATTATCTCTGCCTCTAGCGGTTCTCGCTACGTTTTCGGGTGGTTCTAATAATGTAACCGATAAAGATTTAAATAAACAATTCGTAATTCGTTATTCTATGCGAATTTTCAATTCGACCTTGCCCGTCTGTTTCGCTACTCGATCCAGAACTATGATTTAATTTAATTAGTAATGTGGCCTTAACAAAATCACTTGAATTATCTACATACTTTCCGGGTTTACTAATTTCCCCACCACTTCCCATTGGATGAATACAAATATAATTTTCCATTGGACGAAACCAATTACATCATTGATCGGGGTGG